GCAATTTAATCTTTTTTCTTTTTTTTTCAGTACCAACCCTTCGATTTTGACTAATTTGACTATGATTCAATGCAGAATAAAATTGCGCATCGAATGATACCAAAAACAACTCAGATTGTAATATCCACGCAAAGTTGTTGGCTAAAAACCTAAACCCCGTCAATTATGGACGAGACTAAACCTTTTGCCTTATAAATTTGCATGGATATTAGATTTTGAGTTTTTTTTGGTATCATTCGATGCACAATTTTATTCTCCATCGATAGATAGTCGAAATAGACAAAATAGAAAGGTTGGTGCTGAGAAAAACACGAAAAACTTTCAATTGCTAAGAATAGACAGAGATTTTCGTTATAACTCTATTCTGTACCTCTGCCAACTCTGGACTAAACTTGTAACGAAAAATCGGTCTATTCTTTTTGACGTTAGCAATTGAAGGTTCTTCGTGTTTTTCTCAGCACCAACCTTTCTATTTTGTCTATTTCGACTATCTATCGATGGAGAATAAAATTGCGCATCGAATGATACCAAAAACAACTCAAAATCTAATATCCATGCAAATTTATAAGGCAAAAGGTTTAGTCTCGTCCATAATTGACGGGGTTTAGGTTTTTAGCCAACAACTTTGCGTGGATATTACAATCTGAGTTGTTTTTGGTATCATTCGATGCGCAATTTTATTCTGCATTGAATCATAGTCAAATTAGTCAAAATCGAAGGGTTGGTACTGAAAAAAAAAGAAAAAAAGATTAAATTGCCAACGGAAAATGTTTTTTTATGTTTTTCTCATGTTTTTCTCAGCACAAACGCTTCAAGTTTGCCTAAGTTTGACCATCATTCGATGCAGAATAAAATTGCGCATCGAATGATACCAAAACCAACTCAGATTGTAATATCCACGCAAAGCTGTTGACTAAAAACCTAAGCCCCGCCAATTATGGACGAGACTAAACCTTTTGCCTTATAAATTTGCATGGATATTAGATTTTGAGTTGTTTTTGGTATCATTCGATGCGCAATTTTATTCTCCATCGATAGATAGTCGAAATAGACAAAATAGAAAGGTTGGTGCTGAGAAAAACACGAAGAACCTTCAATTGCTAACGTCAAAAAGAATAGACCGATTTTTCGTTACAAGTTTAGTCCAGAGTTGGCCGAGACATAACATTTTAGACAAAAAGAATCCCAAGAATAAAAGCTTTAAGCCCCAAATCTTGATGAATGCCAAAAATTCGAATACGAGCTTTTCCAAACCTTCTTTTCATCAGTTTAACTTCTTTTCCCTTTCTGGATCCCCCAAGATTATCGATTTTTGAGAATTTGCATGCATTCTCCACTTTCCCCGCTTTTCTATTTTCTCGTTTGACTCTAATTTCTTTGTAAAATATACTATTTTCTCATGAAAACTTACTGTGGATGTTCTTCTTTATTATTGTTTTTCTCAACAGATCCTCCTTGATCATTTGGCGGTGTGCAATAGAGGTTTTGCTCGACTTCCCACGGAGTGACCATGATTTTTTGAGCGAGATCCCGAATTCTACCTGAAAAACTCATGTTCACTCATGTTCAATCATGTTCAATCATTAGATTTCAAGTAGTTTTTTCGGTGTTAGCCGTAGCTGAAAGAATTAGAATTTTTGATGGCTTAAAATGGTTTAAAGATGGTTTAAAAATTGAATAAAACTGAATAACTTTACCAAATTGTCCTTTCAATAGATGACGTCGAAATGTTTGCGTCCTTTTATTGTTTGGCCATTGCTCTTCGACACAAAGTTGAATACTCGCCAAATAGGCAGCATCTTCTCGAGGGCAAGGCAAAGCACCAGAGACAAGTTGATCTTGAAGCTGAAAAGAGAAACTTTAAATAAACCTCCAAGTGTTATTGGTGGCTCTCATTTAGATACAATTGATTGAAATGGTCGTACTTCTTAGAAAATTAGCCATCTTTGACTTTGACTTATTTATCTAAAACCGCTGCAACAGATTCACTTTTCTCATGCAAGATAATGTATTAAATGTTTCAAATTCCAATTCTCGAGACAATTCTCGAGATAATGTATTAAATGTTTTAAATTCCATTAAACAAACATTTTTTCAAATTCAAATTCAAACTCAAATGAAACAAAAGAACTGATAATTGCCGGTTGTTAGCGCCAACTCTCCAAACATCATCTCCATATCATGTCTCAGCTTCGTTCGATCGATTATCGATTTCTCGGTCAACATATGAATTCGATACGAGTCTTGTTTTCCCGGGAACATATCCAATAATGGATGTTTTCCAACGTAAGGAATTGTTTGTTCATAGATATCGTAGATTGTTTTATGAGAAAATCTGAGTGGAGTTGTTAGGAAAGGATTCAAAACATAATCTATCCATTAGATCAATCAATAAGTAATGAGCCTCTTCTTTTGCAAGTAAAGAAGAAGCTCATTATTTATTGATTTACCTACTAGACAGTTTTAAAAAAAACCTCTTGAATCGTTTTCTTTTATCGTTTGCTCCAAGACAAAGGGTGAAAGTTGATTTGAAACTTTCAAGATTCGAATTTTTAGAGCTTTCATAAGAAAATGACATTGAGCGACGAACTTGTTTAGTTGATTGACTGCTAAAGTTTAATATTTGAGACATTCTATCATTGTATATTGATAATCATTAGTCCAGGGGATGTTTGAGCCAGTTCCTAGGGTTTGTAAACCCAACAAGAGCTCGATCTGCCTTTAATAGAGAGAAGTAATAGAAAGATCAGCTGCTCACAAGGGAATGGTCGGATAAGATTCGCCGTTGAGATGTAAACGCCTATCGAGAATGGGGAACACGATGCTCTATTTATTTTTTGCCTATTCTCAATGGTTCACAAGAAAAACGCTTGCAAAGTTTGGGGAACTGCAAAGTTTTTACAAGTTTGGGAACCTACGGGAAATCGCACCTCGGGAATCTATACGCTCTTTCGCTTCTACCCGAGCTTGACTGGATGGCGTAGAGGTAAGTCTGCGCGCTCTTAATCTCACGTTCACCCTTTTCCATCAACTATCCAAAAACAGCCGATCAATTATTTGAAATACTATTCTCACTTTTTTGCGACGGATCTTGGCTTCCAAATGACTCCAGGGAAATTCGTCTTTTTCGTTGAAGCCACTGACATTGTGCCCACCGATTTGCTCCTTTTCGCAAAAGCATTATAGAATTTCGAGTTTTCCGCCATTTCCTCTTCTTTCTTCACATTTTTGCTCCATTGAGCCAAAAAGTCGCCAGCTTCGTCTAAGATTTTCGAAAAGTCCACAAGAATATCAGCATATTGATTCGAGTTTTTCGGGTCCACCTCACAATTTCCCAAGTTCAATTCATTTCGACTTAAATTCCCTCGAGATTTCTTTGGAGCATAGTTATCATAATCAAACGAATCTTGTCTTTCCATTTGATAAAGTAAACGCTTTGGCGACTTGATTGGCGCAAAGAGTTGATCATCAATCAAGCAATCGGGATAATTATTCGCTTTGTGCTCTTCGAGATCCAAAGTCTCCCAATCGAAACAGGTTTGATGAGTTAAATGACGAGATTTCGCGATTGAAGATTGTTTCTCCATTTTTTTAAATGAATATAATTGATTGAGAAGTTGAATAAAAGTGGAAATGAGTCAGGGCGCGTTTGGGAAGAAAAAAAACAAGGCAAAAAAAGGCAAAACAAGGCAAAACATGGAGAAAACATTGAGAAATAAAAAGCAATCAATAATATGAACTTCAAACTGAGAAGAAGAAGAAGAAGAAGAAGAACATAAAAGTTCGTAAAATGTGTGCAATTTACAAAGCAATTTCTAAGATTTTAGAGATATACTTCTGCTCTTGAGCCATTTTATTAGCTTGGTGCATAGCTTGGTGCTTCCAAATGTCTTTTTTAGAAATTTCTATTTGACCTATTAAAAAGCTTGATTGTTTCTCTGCAAAATGGCTTTTCAGAAATTCTTGGAAATAGTTGTTTTTGTGGATTTTCAACGGCGCAAAGGTGAGCCTTTAAAAATCCGCAAAAACTAAAAAACTGCTCCAATTCTGAAGTCGCAATTTGGACACTTTCTTCAATACAAATCTATTTTAGTGCTAAAATAAAAAAGATAGAGCTTATTTGATTACATTACATTATTTGAAGAAGTAAAATTGTACAGGCAAGAGTTTTGTTTGATTTGAGGCTAGAATTCGTGAGAAACGGTCAATTAGGTTGGTACAATGTCTTTACAATTTTTTTTCCAATAATGCCGCCACCAAATTTCTATTTGACCTATTAAAAAGCTTAATTGTTTCTCTGCAAAATGGCTTTTGGCAAATTCTTGGAAATAGTTGTTTTTGTGGATTTTCAACGGCGCAAAGGTGAGCCTTTAAAAATCCGCAAAAACTCAAAACTGCTCCAATTCTGAAGTCGCAATTTGGACCCTTTCTTCAACTCAAACCTCTTTTAGTACTAAAGTAAAAAAGATAGAGCTTATTTGATTACATAATTCTGTAAAATTTGAAAACGATCCGTTCAGGCGATTCTCTTAAAAACAGCAATTGAAAATAAAGAAAAATAATAATAAATAATGAATTCCAAGACTTTTTTTTTATTCCAAAATGTAGAGGAGATCTTCAGCTTTCGAATGATATATAAAACTCATATACATCTGTTCGATATCTTGAGAAATTTACAAAATAGTAAAAACGCGCATTCATAACTGGACAACTCAATATTTCACTTTTAAATGCCCTTTTTCTACATTTTAGACTATCATGTAAAGTGGTCTTTGTGAAAAAATAAATTCTTGATTCATTTGGGAGACCCTTACCCACTTTTTCGGCTGGCCGAATTTTTGAGGGTTGAAAACTACAAGACGCATTGGCTTCTATTAGCGTTTTTAACGGTATCTCAATTCTCTAGTGTTTACTCTAGCTCTAGTGTTTACTGCTACTCTAGCTTTCTCATCCAGCTGGGCAGGCTGGGTAGAGTTAGATTACTCTCAAAGTTTCATTTAACCAACCTCCAAATACTCATCATTGACCTTCTCCATATTATCGCCAGCTTCGGCCTCTTCTTGATCGACATGCGCGGTGACCACATTGATGATCTCAGCACACCTAGAAACACGTGTAAATAGGAAAAGTATTAAATTCAATTTAAATTCAATAATTCAATTCGAAAAGCTAATTGTATACGCATTTTGTGGCATTACTTGAGTCTTCAAGAAAACCCACCAATTTTTCACGGTCGGATGTTGTGGACTGTTCAAGATTTGGCGCAACACATCCGCGCACTCTTTCATTGTGCTGATCACATTCTCATTATTCCTTGTGTAAATCGTGAGCACATTGAGAACAAGTTGACGAACACATTGAAAATCTGGAGACATTTCGGACATCGAGAGAAGTGGACTCTAAAAGAGTTGATTTGAATATATTGCGTTGTCCAGTTATGAATGCGCGTTTTTACTATTTTGTAAATTTCTCAAGATATCGAATGTATATGAGTGTTATATATCATTCGAGAGCTGAAGATCTCCTCTACATTTTGGAATTCAAAAGTTTTTGAATTCATTCAACTTTTTGTGAAATTGACTGCACAAAGGGAGAGGTCGTTTTCGAAAAAACCGATTTCAGTTTAGCTATTCCTCAAGTTTTCTGGTGCAAAATAACCGCCCAGAAAAGAAAAGAAAAGTAAAGATGCTCTGAAATTGTCATATTTTTAAAAAGTTGTATTGATATATCGATTGGCCAAACATTAAATTTGAGCGGAGCCAAAACTTGATCCAAAGGCACCCTTCCATTTTTTGGCCACCTCTTCTTCTGTGCAGTTAATTTGCCCAAAAGCTGGACAAATTCAAAAGCTTTTTATATCAAAATGTAGAGGAGATCTTCAGCTTTCGAATAATACTCATATATATCTTTTTCTTCATTTCGTTATCTTGAGAAATTTACAAAATAGTAAAAAACGCGCATTCATAACTGAACAACCCAATATAAATCTATAAAGAGGTCTCAAGTTTCTTGTGATTTCAACCAAGAAACACAGTTAAGCAGGTTTCGAAAAAAAAAGCACTTCACCCTCCTGCTGCCTATTCTCACCTCTCTATCAGGTACCTTGAGACTGCTGTGATCGCTTCCTCTCGAGAGTGCCCTTCTTGGTATTGGAATCCTTGTCCCAATCGTCGATGCCCGTTTCCTAGACTCTCTATAGAGGATTAAAATTCTGCGTTTTGCTTTTCCAAAGATTTACCTTAGCACAAAGCTGAAGAGGTAAGGGCCGGAGACGTCAGAAGCGATGCTTGTACCACCAGAGAAGTTCGATAAACGGAGACCTTGCGAGGAACGAGATGATCTGAAAGTTGATAACAGTATAGGGTGATCAAAAATAAGTGTCGTAAATGTCGTAGCCGACGATGAATCATTCATAATCGGCTACGACATATACAACGTTTTTGCCTCTAATTTTTCCGGCAAAAAGTTTTCGTAAAAAAATCTCTTATTTTTTGTCTTGTAAAATGTCAAAAATCTTATGAAGGTAATTTAAATTCAATCCAAAAAAAACTGGACGCTAAGCACGAGTCGCTTTTCTCTAAAAAGAGAAGTGGAGCAAAAGAATATTCTTTTGTATTCGGAATTTACAAAAATTTACAGAAATGATTCTAAAATATTTTAAGCATAAGCTACATCAAATATCTTAAAACTAAATATTAAAAGATTTCTTCTCAAAACTCGTTGCCGGAAAAATTACAAGCAAAAACGTTGTGCATGTTATTTCAGAAGCCTCTGAAGAATTTCAGAAGATCCAGCGTCTGATCACGTCTGAATCTGATTTTAGGATCGAATTCTGACATGAGAATCCGATTCAAAGCAAGTTTAAATGAAAAATTAGTAAATGAATTGATTGCTCATTCGTTGTTCAGTTTTCAATTGCTTTTTTACATTACTAAAGGCTAAACCGACCAGTCAGCTTGCATAGAATCCCAAATAAATCCTATTATTTGCTTTTGAGTTTTAAAGAAGACAACAAGTTTTTTTTGTTGAAATCATTTGCGAAAGCTATTATGGTAAACTAGTAACTTTCTATGCCATTTAAAATTCGACTAATTTTCATTTAAACTTGCTTTGGATCGGATGGGATCGGATTTTGACGTTAGGATCCTGACGTTAGGATCGGATTTGACGTAGGACGGATGCGTTGGCGGTTTGACCTTAGGATCCTGACGTTAGGATCGGATTTTGACATTAGGATCCGATCCTGACGTCGAATCGGATTCTGACGTTAGTATCCGATCCTGACATAACACATACACTTTTTTCTGGTCACTCTGTAGATTTTATAAACTGATTAAAAATAAAATAAAGAAATGAATGGTAAAGAGTTTAGAACCAAGGGAAATTGAACCATCGACCTTCTGCTTACCGGGCAAGTGCTCTACCGCTGAGCTATCAGCGGTAGAGCATTTGCCCAAAAAGAAATAGGAAAGAGAAGGAAGAGAAAGAAATGAAGACCAAATCACAAGCGCAAAGCAGTACTTTGGATGGATAAATCCCCCGAATGAGCAAATAATTATGCATTAAACAATAACCCTAACTATCAAAGTTAAGATAATCAATTAGTATTTAAGTTTTGATATTAAATTGCTAAACACTTAATTTCCATATGACAAAAGTTGTCTATTTATGTTTTTTGAAAATTTTAACAATCAAAATACCTTTGCGACATTGCAGACGAGGCTCTTGATGACCAGCCACCCACTGATGAGTCTAAAAATGATTCTGTGAATTCGGTGAATTGAAATAATAAAAGTTTCAGTGATTCTTTGCGTAAGGGTAAACAAAGTATTGCTTTTTACCAAAAAGATCAGATTTAAAGCTATTCTTCTTAAAGTTATCTTAAAATTTCAGCATCTCGCTCTACAGTAAACCGGAAAACTTAAATCAGTTGAATATCTTTAACAAGCATACTGTAGACAAGAGCTGAGAATTTTCGGTGTGAACGTCAATAGGTGTCGAACGAAAAAACGCCATATCTTGGCCAATTTCACTTCAATCTTTTTCTCTTTGATTTCAATCGATAGTAAATGAAATTCTGCGTTAATTTATATCAAAATCAAAAATATCAGATTGAAATTGACCAAGACATTTCATTTTTCCGTTGCATTCCTATTGGCGTTCATATCGAAAATTCCCAAATCTATTGTAGACTGAAATTTTACCGTTAAATTAACATTAAATTTATTGAAAACTTTCGAAAATTTCAGTTTATCCTATTAGCAAAGAACCCAACCCTATTTGGACATCAAAAAAAAAAGGATAAAACTCAAATCATACTCGAAAATTAAGGGAATATCTCAAAATAAAGCGTTCAGCGATAGTTTCAAAATTACAATAAGCTTTTTCGCACTTCACAAATTGACGCTGCTTTCTCAAAAAAGGGGAACACATGCTAGTTTTAAAGGGAAAAACCACAAAAAGAAAAAGTTTACTCGTCGTCGATCCACGAAGGCTTAGACTCCACGCTGGAATAAAAAAAAGAAGGATTACGGGGTAAATGGAATGGATTAGTTTTTAGTGGATATGAAATTTTGAAACAAACAATTTATTGTCGGAGATGTCAAACCTCGTCCCTCGTGCCATTCATCCCACCACCCATTCTCGGAACCTTTACGCGATGTTGGAGTGGCGCCGGTAGTCAGCAGGGGAGCACAGTCGAGACTCTAGAAATCGGTTTCGCGAAATCTAATCTAGCTTTTAGCAAATTTGATAATAAAGAAAGAAATGGCAAAGAAAGCTTTCCGGAGAGGGGATTTGGACCCTCGACATTTTTTGCTTTCCGGTAGTCAGCTTTCCAGCTTTCCGGTAATTCTAAATCTAAGCCTTTGTTTAAAGCCACTCTACTTACAAATACAACAGACGCATTTTCCCTTCCCTTCCCCCTTCTATTTCCTCTTTCTTCTCTGTCAAGTAGATACCGGATAGCTCAGTGGTTAGAGCATCTGTCCGGAAAGCAAAAAAGGTCGAGGGTCTAATCCCCTCTCCGGAAAGCTTTCTTTGCCATTTCTTTGCCATTTCTTTCTTTATTATCAAATTTGCTAAAAGCTAGCTTATTTTAAAATTAGACAAATATCAAGCTCTTAAATAAGTGCCTCTTTACTGATAGGGAGAGAAAAATTTCAAATAATCAACACTGAAGTCAAGAGTAAAGCCACGAGCATAACTATTTGCAGGCAAAAATTGTTTCTAAGCCTGAACTTTCAAACCAAGTTAAGCCAGGTCAGCTAAAGTCAACCGAAATTCTGGATACTTTTCTGGGTACGGTAAAGGCCACGTCCAAGGCAAGTCCAAGAATTTGCCTTTGACTTTTTTTTTTGGATTAGTTAGTCTGGTCTGACTTGGTAAGACATTTCATATACCGTATTCTCTTTAATAGTAGTGTACTCTCTAATAATATTGCGGTCCAGGAGGGGGTTGAAAAAATATTAGTGCGCACTACTATTAGAGAGAATACGGTAGATTTTTCCAAACTCACATCAGATGGAGCTCCCTCTGTAGCATTGACAAAATAAGTGAAATCAAAGTGCGAAATGGCGGACGGTCGTCGAATTTCGATCACCGGTAGACCGGGTAGCGCCTAAACAAAATTTTAAAGTTAATGGCAGAAATCTACAAGTAAAGAAAAATTTTTGCGGGTAAGAGCTCAAACAAAAAGAGAGTTTGGGACTGGGATGGGGTGCCGAAAAGAACATTTTCTATTTGGAGGTGCTGCACTCGTTTCTGCTAGGATTTTCACACTTCAAGTATAGCTTATCGTTGCTCAAATCTATTTTTTTTCTCAAACGATACCATTTTTGCGAATCGTGGTAGAGGACCCTATAAAATATGGAGATTGGGTTTAGAAAGAATTTGCTCGCAAAGCTTTTTTTTACCAGTGGACTGCTCGGTCGACGAATGGCTGGATCGACGAAAACATTGCTGCTCATTGAGCCATTTGCAGTTCTTGGAGATCTGGAAGGATATCAATAGCTTTATATGGAAAAAGTAAGCAGTTAATTTATCAATAGATTACGTAGTAAAACATCAGTTACAGTTTGGCCATATTTTCTTGACTAGGGTTAAGCAAAAAGACCCTTTAGATCATAAAAAGCGGACAATGACATGATTCAAAAGCCAGCTTTGAGCTTGAGGCTTTGTTTTATATACACCTTACTATTAGTAAACCATAATTCCCTAGAGGTGTTGAAAAATGAAGCTGGTCTCTAATCATACAAGAACAATTATCGAGTACCCGATCGCTACCCAGGCCTTGCTACCTTGGTCAGTACCAAATCAAAAGCTTCGGCACTAAACTGGCTAATGTCTGACCTAAGGGTTAGCTGGTAGACTCAAATAGATCCGGTACTAACCCCATTTCGCATATCTTTACTGTTAGACTCACACTGGTGGACTAGCCATGTAGATCTCAAGATCGGGCAAATGATTGTAGCCAAGTCTCTTTGCTGTGATCGCCGCATCTTGTGAATCTTGTTGATCACTAGAAAACTTGTAAAAATGATTTTCCTTGAGTTTACTTTTTATAAGCTGTTCTCAGCGCATCTCTTCTCGTCAACGGATAATTTTGCAGCTTTCTCGTGAATTCCAACACCGCATCTGAGCCAGATGTGTTACTTTCAGGGCTTGAGTCTCCTAAAAGTGTTTTGTTTTGTTCATTTTTTGAAAATAAGCTTACTTCTGACATGTCTCTTGCACGGATCCGTTCCCATTCGTCCACGAAAAAGCGATTGGAAGTATTTAGGTAAATGTTTTTGAACAGATGAGCTGTTTGAGAGAGTTTTCTTCGATTTCGTGGAACCACTGCTTGTATCAGTTCCCAATCTAAAAAGACTGCCTTGATTTCAAATTTCAATTCAAATTCAGAAACATTATCCACTTCAAATGAATTGATCTTATTTGAAAATCGATTTTCTTTACCTCTTAACCAGTCGCCAGATGGTTAACTGGTTAAGTCTAGGTTCAAGCCCATTGGCTGGATCATGTTCTTATTTCCCATCTTTTAGCGTTTTTTTCTTATCAACATTTAGCGTTATTGTATTGTAGCGTTATCAACATTTAGCGTTGTATTGTATTATCTGTTTTGTCCACATTGTTCATATTGAATAAATGCATTTTTCTTTACCTCTGCCTTCGCCTGTTCTTGCTGTGTCTCAAGTCTTTTGCTCCACTCGAAAATCGTTTTGGTCTCAGGATCTCGACAGAACTTGATCTAAAATAAAAAAAATTTATCAATCAATACTATCTATTTCAATTTCACCTCCTAATCTGTACTCTTCTCGCACTTTTCTGGCTGACATTCACTCGAAGGAAATTCTTTGCGCTGTCTCCTCGTCGTTTCTCACTTCCCTCTCTTCGATCAAATGATTTCGATTTCGCGATTTTACTGAAAAAGGGATTAAAGTTCTGATTGGCTCTGATAAAATCAGACTTTAAAAATCAGACAAAAAGTGAATGAACCTTGATGATGGCATCGTTAAGCTCATCGTGGATTGCACTCGTGGATCGGTGATCGTTTTGTGGGGATGGAGTTCTTTCTGAGATTTGCTTATCTTAGTTGTTGAATACACCAAAGGATTTCAATTTCTATTCTAATTGCAAGAGCAATCAACTATCACATCTAACTTTTGTTACTTTCAAAAAACCCAAGCTTATAGTCATAGCTAGCTAAGTTTACTTCCAATTTCTATAGCGATCGCTTCAATTATTGCTTTGGCCGGAAAGTCTTGTCCGCCCTTTCGAAATTTTTATTTATAAATGATAAACGTGTGAAATCACTTTAAATAAAAAAGATTAACTATTACATTTAGCTAATTTTTAGGCAAATTTGAGTCCGCTTTGCGGCAAATCCGAACGGGAATTCTTGTTCTTCCTAAAATCCTTACAATGGATCTAGAATGAAAACGGCTTGGTGAAATGTTATGAAAATTCTGCCTGAATATTCTGAAAATTAGTCTATCTGCCCAACTTTTCATTCTCCATCTTTGTTTTTGAACTAAAAATAGATTTCTGTGACAAAAGGTGCTCAAAGCGAGACCCTGAGTTTTATCGTTTTTGACTGCTCGACTTCAGATCTTTAAAAAAAATTAACTAACGCGAGCTTTTCAGAATTTCTTAAAGCGCAATTTGTAAATAATAAATAGGACTTTCTGAAAAAAGAAACCATAGATTGATTGGTTCATTCTTCCTCTCACAAAGTAACCTTTAAAAAAGCGGACAAGACTTTCCGGTATTCAACTCACATCAACTAGTTTCGGTATTCAACTCACATCAACTAGTTTCGGCCTCTTTTTGCTGACCAATCCAAGATCCCAGCTCAGTTTGTGCAAAATCAATCGTATCAAGAGAGACGAATCCAAGACAAGTCCCAATTTACATAAATGAGCTTCAAGGTTCTCCAACGATAACAAGACTTCAACAGATGCCAATTGAAATGCGCTTTCCCTGGCGGCAAAATCAACCTGAAAATTTGCATATCTTATTGGTAAAGTATAATTTTTTCTAGCTAATGGATAAACAGAAATATCTTTAGGGGAATTCAGTTTGAATACCAGCGATGAATCGTTAGATGAGCGAATTGTGGCCGCGTATCTAACCCACTAAAGAGTAAACCTTGGGTTTTTTTGCGTTGTAAAATAAAGAACTTGGTTCTCAAAACTGACTTGCAATGTCGGTGAATGATTCCTGCTTGCGGAAACATTTTTGAGCGCATCCGTATCGATGCATGGAGGACTTGAGGCTGATGGGCTTTCCTCGGTAATCGGCTCTGATGTCGATAAGTTCATCGACTTTTTCACTAGCTGAAACGACGTTGATCTTGAAATGACATCATTTCAACTCAAGCAATAGTATGATTCAAAAAAATCATTTAAAGGCACGTAGGCTGTAGTGGATGCTGAATGAATTAAGCTTAGAAACTTTGAACTACAGTAGCGGACATAATCTTAGAAATCCAAATTGGTACACTCAGAATTAGTAAAATGAATAGCTAAAATCGATTGCTCGACCCCGAAAACCCCAGGTACAAATTTACAGCTGAATATCTACTTTTTGTATTATCTAAAAAGCAAAAGAAAAATCTCTGAAGAAAAAGGCTGAAATGACTGTTTTACTGGTAACAGAAATTGTTCTTTGTGCGCGCGCACAATCGCTCGCCATCTGACATAAACCTCTGGTATAAGGGTCTTCCGCTTTGGAATCCGTAACCGACTGAGCTTTCCTGTTTTCTGGGCGTCCCCTATGCCCAGATTTTTAGGATCAATTTCTGTTACCAGTAAAACAGTTAACGACTACGCGATCAACGATTTTTACCTTGAATTTAGCTGTATTTTTGCTGCAAATTCCACACCCCCTTACCAAAAAGTAGCGAGACTCAAGATCATGATAAAGCTCTTATATTTTCACAAATCTTTGCTGCTTGTAAGGTTAGCTGAACAAAAGTGGGTAATTTTTATCTGCAAAAACAAAAGTCGCCATGATTATGTCTGCTATTCCAGCTCTGGAAATTGCTTGGCAATTCTATATCAAGAAATCTGTGAAAGTTTCAAATTCGATTATCAATTGAAAAAGCCCAAAAAATTCATATACTTTATTATACTTGGGATAAAATTTCCCTACCTCTTGCACTTCCTGCAACAATTTCAACAAAATCCCCTCAACGCTCATCGACGACTTGCTGAAAGCGAACATCGATTTCGGTGTTGAGCACGTTTCACAAATATACGCGTCCTCATTCGGGAAATTGCTCTTTGATTTGTCATCTTTTTCTTCAGCACCTAAAGAATTATAGAGTTATTTAGTTCTACAACCATTCGCTTAAAGGGGTAGAGCCACAGAGAAATTGACTTTCTCCAATGAAGAAAGATCACAAAAAAAAAGTCAAGAATGAATACAGAAATATGCACTAAGATGTTTTCATATAAAAACTGAATAGAAATTAGAAAAATATCATTTTTGAGCAATATTATGAATTTTAATTGTGAGAAACTAGGTAGGAAATGGCCTATTTTGAACTAAAATCCATATCTATCTGTGAGAACACCATTATTTTATTTGATTTTACGATATTCATGATCATATCTAAATATCATCTCAATATCGTGATCATATCGATCTCCAAAATACCTTGTTGGTGGTTTTAGTGTAAAAAGCAAAAGTTTAAAGGGATGTGAGAGCTGAACCAGCGAGATTTCGCGCTTGAGTCAACCGCTCTAGCACTGCACTAAATCTGCAGAGGATTCGACAGCTGGGAAGACCTTTCCATTGTTCCAAACGATTTTTTGCAAAACCTTCTATGTGGGACGGAACCATTTAAAGAAATTTAGGCCAACTCACCCAGCATTTGAAAGAGATTCACCCGACTGCCGACCCTGTCACCCAAGCCGACGTAGACCAAAATGCGTGCCGCGTGAAATTTCACAAAGTGTCCAAATTTTGTTGAATGATTTGTGTAATACCTAAAATCTGGTTATCGTTTAAAAAGTTTTTGTGAAATCCTACCAATCGTCCGATGGCAATAGCATTTGAATGAGCACATCGTCGATTGTTTCTTCAATAAAAGCGCTGTGTGTGCTTGAATCCATCGCGATTAGAGCCAAAGTTTGAAGTAGAAGGCATAACAATTGCTAAAGTTTTGAAAATTTAAAAATTTTGTTTTTAAATGACCGGTTCTAGCGTTGGTTCAAGGAGTTGAATGACGGTTTTTAGTTGTCCACTCAGTTTCGCTCGAAATTTCTTCATATGAGCGAGGAAGAGAAGCAGACGAGCAACAAGGATCTGGAAAGATTGATGTATGAGTGAAATCGATATCAGGAATCAAGGGTAAACTTGTCAAAAACCGTAGTTACTGTTTTACAGTGCTTGGTTCGTGCTTAGGTAGTTTAGCGTACACCAAAACTGTTTCCCAAGCAAAGTGTATCTTATAACTAATCAAAGTCCTTTGAAAGTGGCAGAGAAGTGTGCTGTGAGAAAACATAAACGTATAGTACGCGAGTTTGCTGATAAAATAGCATTAGTCAAACCTGTGTGCAATGTTGATTACATTGTCGCCATCGGTGTGCCGGACTGCAAACACAACGAGCGCCCGCCTCCCGGTTCTGCATCGTGATCGCATTGTGGAGGCAGACAATGACTGGAATGGATAGTTAGCCTTAGTTGCTTTAAAAGCAAGCCTTGAAAACCCAAGTCATGCAGAACTATTAGGTTGGCAAGAAAGTTAGTAGAAAAAGTTTGCACGGTGATTTCTCAAAAACCAAGCCATGAATCCTTCCCAAATTTTTTAATAAACTTCACTATATTTCAAAAAGTTTTTGATAAAAAATCAGAGTGAGCTTCAGGTAAAAAATAAGTGATTTCTTCAGCTGAAGTGAATTGAAGGAACCGTTTTTGTGGTGCAAAAAGTGAGCTGAATTTAAGCTGGAAAATACTTTTTAGAAAATCTTTCAAATTTTAAGAGAAAGCTGTGCTCATTTTTTACGAGTAATTTCTTGAAGTCGACTTGTAAATAATAGAGCAAAGTATTCTTGAATTGGTGGATTCGTTTTTAAGAAATTTCAGTTTAAATCTGTGCAAACACTTTCTTGCCAACCTAATACAAATTACTGCGACTTACTTTGGCTCGGTTCCTGCATCGCAAAGGTTGACATTAAATCCGATGGTTTGGGTGTGGAAACGATGATCGGACTGGAGACAAACGGGAACGTTGAAGGGCAGAGATCTTTTGGAGCTCCATAAACGAAAACGTGGTCCACTGTCGAGTGTTGATCCATTGAACCACCTAAATAGGTTTTGTTTATTGAAAGATTTGTGCCGATTAACCAGGTGAAAATCCGGGGTCTTCAAGATCAAAAGTGTGACTCCGATTCAAAAGCCGGGATGAATGAAAAATCGCGTCCGGGGTGGTGAAGAGATCGTGCACGAGGCCGGTGTCGATGATCTGAAAATAGTTGTACTCAAAGAAAAATTATGAGGAGTTAGCTGGAATATCAAAGAGAGCATAGCTTTGATATCAAATGATATCGTTTGCCTAATGAAAGGCTCAAGTCTGCCTTGGGTAACTAAACCGATCCAAAAATCTTATTGTGCATATCTTTCTAACACGTTTATGCGACTCACTTCGAAACAAAAACCAAACCCACTTTGTTTAACGTGCTCAATGCGGAAAAATGTCGACTCGATCCGGCTTTTTGTAGAAATTGAAAACAAAATGAGGCCAGTGAACAAACAGTGCAAATCAATTGATTCCTTTTCTGACGTCGATATGATGGAGTCGATGTCTCGAATTGCTCAATGGCTGTCTAAAATTTAATAATTGTTTACGCAGTTAATATGAGGAACATAAGAAAAAGAAAAAAATGTGTTTGAGCTAATTGTAACGATAATGGAAATTGTAATTCCTGTTACCGTTTTAAATATTAGGTCTGAGTACTAAGTCTTTCATTTAAATTCATTTTCTAATTGAATAAATCTCAAGCTACCAAATGAAATACGGTTTTTTCATTAGATTTCACTAGATTCATTTTTTCATTTCATTCAATCATTCCTCCTGCAAATCTTTTGAAAGCTTCTGAAAAGCTTTGTTTTAAAGGTTTTTCTTAAGCAAGAAGCCGAGAGTTCAAAAAAGACAAGGTCCGATGATGCGATTTCGACCGTTTCTTTCAATAAATCTATTTTAATGAAAAAATAAAAAAGATAGCGCACAAAAAGTTACGTTTACAGCCAAAATTTCAGAATAATCCGTTTAACGGTTTTTTTTATGTACTCATTTTTAAATATTTTTAAAAATACCAGCTTTCGTTCCCCCAGATTATTCTAGAATACTAAAGATTGTTTAAAAATGATAAAAAGTAAACGATAAACATTTGTAATGAAAGAAATTGTTTGGTAGTTGGTAGTTTGAGAGTCGTTCATTTAGATAATGAAATGAAGGGTGCAAGATTTAGTACTCAATCTATTACGTTGAGTACTATATGTTGGTCTGGCCTTTCCATTTTTCGCTGTAGAAACAATTAAAGCTCTTTTTGAACAAATTTGGATGCATTTTGAGGAATATTTGAGCAGAAATTCGTTAAATGATCAAATGATCAAAAAATAAAAACGGCTTGACAAATTAAGCTGAAATTTTGGTTATAATCGTAACTTTTTGTGCATTATCACTTGTCTTATGACACCAGAATAGGTTTCTTTGGCTAAAAGTGCTCAAATTGTATCATTAGGGCCTTTTCTGCTTTTGATCCCTCAATTTCTTGCTCTCTGAAAAAAACCACAAAACGAAAGCATTTCCAAATGCGTTAAAAGCTACTTTTAGAAGACCAATAGAGCTTTTAAATGGTAAAAACTGTAGTTTTTAGTTGTTGCTTCTAAAAAGAGCAAAGAGTAAGCCATATCGACACATGGTACCAATAACATAAATTAACAAACTCACAGCGACGATTCGATGAAAAACCCCGCCAAGATGGGCATCAAAGATTTCATGATCGACGTTGTTGGGAATATTTTCCAATTCAGCCGCATATTTGGTGAGACTACTCTAAAAACAGGATGTGCAACTTTTTTTTGAAATCAATTTAACACTTGTGCAAAACCTTACATGTATCGCATCCAAACACTCAGGATTCCCGGCCATTTTCTTCAGCAATTCCCATGCTTGTTCCCAGGAGACGTTTTCCACGGATGGATCTGAAGAATATGGTGTTTGCTTCAAACAATATAAAAATATATTCAACTCACCATTCCCATAATTATTTCCAAATAAATTGTAACTGTTCGCCGATTTTTTCGCTTTTTGCTGGAGTTGCAAAGAGACTAAACTCTTTCTTCTCGCTGATTCCTTAAAAAAAATACTTTTTGAATCAAATCCTTTTTCAAACTTTTGCTGACGAAGTCTCCATGACAGATAGTGTCGAAAGTGATGGGCATTGTGAACTTTTTGGGGACAATGGCGGTTTATTTTGCGCGGCTGGGGCTAAACTCGTTGTTTTAAACAGCAAATTTCAGCACCTTAACATAAACAGCAAAATTTGAACACCATAAAATAACTGATTGACTTACTGGCTTCTGGTTGTAATCGGTGAGATCCTCTCGAAACGATCGGTCTTGGTGGAGGTGGTTCGACAATTGTTTCACAAGAGGTGGCACTCTGAAAAAAGAATACATTTAAAGGTTCAAAGAATAACGATAGCGAACAATATCAACATTAGAACATTAGCGAACAATAACAACAAGAATAACGATATCAACGAGTTCCAATGTAAAGAAATTTTATCATTGAATGCCGATGCATACTTAAGTTGCTTATGACTCAGGAACTGCCAAAAGTGTATCAAGTATCAGGTTACAGTATTTGACTCAAGAGTACACTAGAGTATACGAGAGTATTACGGTTCAAACATCTAAATTCTGAGTCGAAACTTTACCCAAACTGCTAAATCTTTTAACCCAGAAACACTAATTCAAAAGATTTGCCAAAAAAAGGAATAACAAGACAGTAGAAGAAAAGCGGGGGGACAAATGCGACCTTTTTTTTGCGCACCTGGACATTTGCGCACCTTTTTTTTGCTGGAAAAGGCCTTAGGAGAGGTCGTAGAGCTTCAAAAATGTCTCCATATAAGGGAATCGTATGCGTAGATTCAGAATTTTGACAAATCAGACCTCGCTGACACGTCAAATTTGGGCTAAAAGGCAAAAACTATGCAACTTAACGCTTTTCCGCAGTTTTTGCCTTTTAGCCCAAATTTGACGTGTCAGCGAGGTCTGATTTGTCGAAATTCGGAATCTACGCATACGATTCCCTTATATGGAAATATTTTCGAAGCTCTACGGCCTGGCCTAAGACCTTTTCCAGCCAAAAAAAGGTGCGCAAATGGCCAGGTGCGCAAAAAAAAGGTCGCATTTGTCCCACCCCCCACTAATTCAAAAGATTTGCCAAAAAAAGGAATAACAAAACAGTAGAAGAAAAGCGAGACGACGTCTCGAGTACGGTAGCTTAGGTGTATTTTAGAATTTAGTGTTGGAAGGTTGCCAACTCGTACTCGAACTGCGAGAATTGTGGTTTTACTCACTCACCTTGAATAGCTGATCAACGCAAGTTTGCTGTAATCTTCTCAGCTCAGCTGCCAAGTCTAGCGGGCAGATTCCCCGACAGTTCTTTTGCTCGATTCTGAAATTTCGCTTTGTACGAGTTGTTAAGAATGGATTCTGGATCTTTAAACTTACTGTGCCCCAAAGAAGATCAAAGTGTGAAGACAAGGCCACGAGAGGGGAGACTCTCGGACAGCAAGCAACAATGGAGTGTTTCCTTCTTCGTCACCGATATCTAGAATTCTTTTTTGAGTTATTGTAATCATTTACTCGTCATTTACTGTAATGCTAGATTTCAGAGCTTCTAATGCTTTTAGAGTTAAATGCTATGAAAATTGTTTATCTACTGCCCGTTTAGATTTGGTTCGAAGTTTTTTAGGTTTAAAAACGATTGTGGGACCTTTTATACGCGCCCCGCCCACTTTGCCATTGGCAATCCAACTTTAAACTCAAATATCTTGGTGTTGGGCTATCCAATTTAAATAGTTTTTGTATCAATCGATAGAGAAAGACTTGGTGCATCTAATGATATTAAAAATATTGAAATTTAACGGCTCAACACCGAGATATTTGAGCTCAAAGTTGGATTGCCAATGGGAAAAGGGCTGGGCGTGAATCAAATGTCGAATAAATGTCGAATAACCTTCAAAAACCCACTCAGATTCACATCGGCTCCATAGGCCACCAGAAGGGCGATCATTTCACTGCTTTGCGCTCGCACGGCTACACCCAATGGGGTGTGATCGACAAATGAATGCACCCGCAATTGCGCACACGTCGAACACATCGAATCTGGAGTCATCGAGTGGGTACTGTATCTGAAAATGCAAGCTTTTAAAAGGAAATTATAATAAAACCAGCCGAAAACGGCTAATAGCGAGTTTTTCTGACCGGATGCTCGTCGCCGTAGCGCAGTGGGGAGCGTTCTTGTCTACGGCCCACAGGGTCCGAGTTCGATTCCCCTTAGTGCCACCAAAGCTTGGTTTTTTCATTTTTTATTTTAAATGGCATAACTACAATATATTCTAAGGTTTTCTAAAGAAGTTTTATCATTATTGGTCAAAACACAGCCGAGGAAATGCACGTACAGACAGACAGGCAGACAGACACGGCTCTTTTATATAGTTTTAAAGTTTTAGTAAGGAGTTTCGGATTTAAACCTCGGTAAAATCGATGTCATCGGAATGTTTCCCGTTGCCGTACAATTGCCACGACAATGACAAGTCGCTGGAGCGTTTGGATCATAGCCATCTGGGATTTAATTAGTTTAAAAAATTCGTTTTCATTTTAATGAGTTCTAATTAGTTTTTGGTTAGGAAAAAAAGTCGAAACCTTAGACATTTAAAGGTTTAAAGAATAACGATAGCGAACAATATCAACATTAGAACATTAGCGAACAATAACAACAAGAATAACGATATCAACGAGTTCCAATGTAAAGAAATTTTATCATTGAATGCCGATGCATACTTAAGTTGCTTATGACTCAGGAAGTGCCAAAAGTGTATCAAGTATCAGGTTACAGTATTTGACTCAAGAGTACACTAGAGTATACGAGAGTTTTACGGTTCAAACATCTAAATTCTGAGTCGAAACTTTACCCAAACTGCTAAATCTTTTAACCCAGAAACACTAATTCAAAAGATTTGCCAAAAAAAGGAATAACAGAGGAAGAACAAGACAGTAACAAGACACTGAAAACAAATCAAAGCTTTAAAACAGCTTTAAAACACTTTAACACAGCTTTAAAACGCTTTAAAACAGCTTTAAAACGCTTTAAAACACTTTAAAACGCTTTAAAACACTTTAAAAGAGCTTTAAAACACTTTAAAACAGCTTTAAAACACTTTAAAACAGCTTTAAAACGCTTTAAAACACTTATTAGTGCGTGAACCCACTTTTCAATAGCAACTCAGCGATTTCCTTTTGTTTATGAGCGATTGCCATGTGAAGACTGTTAAGGACGGCACAAGTTGATCTATAAATCACCAAAATCTTTGATTTTTCTCGCAAAATTGCTTGCAAAATCAATTGCTTAGTTAAGTTTTTTAAAAGCAAAACATAGAATTTTATTATTTTTAGATACAATTCGCATTCGACAAACCTTCCATTGGAATGTGTGCTGACTGTGCTGCTCGCATTCGATCGTCTGTGCATTCCATGACGTCTTTGAGCCAGTTCACTCAATGTGTGTGTTGAGCCTAAAATATTCAATTTTATAAATGATTCATAAAAAGCTCTGTCCTCTCTCCAAAGATCGTTTCTACAGATAAAATTAAATAAAATCAAGGAAAAAGAGCATCAAATTTGAAATCTTTGACGATTTTTAACCCAAGAATTTTTTTTTAGGTTTTCTAAGAACCTAAGAATTCAAAGCGCCCGTACTTTCAAAAAATGCGTCTTTGGTATCAAAAAATAGCCCTGAATTTCAGCTATTTTTTGATACCTAAGCGCGCATTCTAGCATAAACTAGTGTCGAGAAAAACGCGTCCAAAGCTAGACTACGCAACGCTCCGCACCGTCATTATCGTGGTGGGGTACTTTTGCAGTATTTACGGTAACTAACTTATAGTTATATATTTATTAGGCTTAGCTTGAAGTCAAATCCAGTTTAAGTCGATTCAAAGACGGTTTAATTAGACGAATCAAAACGAATGAACTCGATTGTTAAGTTGGTTTCAAGCTTTTCTTTGATTTAAGCAACTGCCGTATTTCTTCGACTAGAAGACCGGGAAAAGAGTATCATCGCGTACTCCTGCGTAGCAGCCCTTTTTAAAATTTCTTTTCTGCATAAAAGCTTTCAATGAAGTGCTATAGGGCTGGAAAATGACTCAAAAATACCACATGAGCTAGCAGATTTTTGAGTCATTTTCCAGCCCTATAGCACTTCATTGAAAGCTTTTATGCAGAAAAGAAATTTTAAAAAGGGCTGCTACGCAGGAGTACGCGATCATACTCTTTACCCGGTCTTCTATTCGAAGAAATACGGTAAACCATCTTCTAACTGAATTCAAAGAACTTTTTCAACTGTTAGAACTTTGATTTCACTAAAACATCTACTTTAAACTGTTCTCAAATGAAAAATTCTTTATATTTATGAAGAAAACCCTAAACTCACTCACCAATACTAGGCGATGTACTTAACGGCTTTGCATTTACATGTGATGAGAGCAATTTTTCAACCAAAGCCACATCTTCAAAGTGAATAGCCTAAAAAGAATTGTCATTATTTTTCTTTATTACTCAAAAAAACATTTCCCTTTTTGTTTTTTTTTATTAAATTCATCGTGTGATCCATGAAAGTTGACCCCTTTTGATGCAAAAATCACTCTTTTGGGCACTTTTCTTTTCCATTTTTTTTTGTTGAAAAGCCAAGCAACGACTAATTGAGATGGATTCAATTTCTTTTCCTTTTCTATCTTTTCTCAGATAAAATTGATCGAAGACTTTTGAGAAGATCAGAGATTTCCATCTTTAAGAAAAGAAAGAATTAAGAAAAAAGAATAAGATCAGAGATTTGCACAAAGATTTGACCTTAGTTTTCAATTAAAATGAACTTGAAGCACTCTGTTGTTTGTGGAGTTGATTTTAAATTCGAAAATTTCATCAAAACCCACTTCAAGCAACATTTCTGACATGTTTTGCGTGACGCTCGGTTTTCGCTCGTCTCGAATCAGCGTTCGTTGAGCGGCCGTGAAGGTGAAACTTCTGAAAATGGCAAAATACAGATTTGAAATCTGTTTTATTAGCCTAAACTTTATATAACCATTGTCAAAGTGATTAAAAATAAAAAAAACCCTTCTTTTACATGTTTACATTCTGCAATCTGCAGCAATTCTGTAATATTGGGTTGGTGAATTGAAAACTGCCGGACTTTGAACTAAGATTTATTTGAAATAAAACCATGAATTCATTCCAAATAATTTCCATTATTATTGACGACTTCTGCCCATATTACAGGCAATTTGCGGATTCCTCTTTCGTAGGATTTTGGTTTTAAATCCAAAAAAACTTTCCAAGCCAATTTTTGACTGCTTCTTCTGAATCGAAGTGTTCTCCCGCAAGCTCATTACTCATGGTCCGGAATAAATAGTAACCAGAAGGGGCAAGGTCCGGATTGTATGGGGGATGTGCCAAAAGTTCCCAACCAAGGCTGTTTATTTTAGAGCGAGTCAGTTTTGCAACATGAGGGCGCGCGTTGTCGTGGAGGAGAACGATCTTTGACTTGGAGGGCCTATTCTTCTTCAGGGATTCATTCACCTTTTCCAACTGTTCACTGTATTTGATTGCATTAAGGGTCGTCTTGCTTCCAGTACTCCCTTATCATTGGTCGGCTTATGACAATCGACAATCCGATTTTGGTTTGTGTGTGGACAAGTGTGAGACTCAAAAATGGAGGACTGGAGATGTCCCAGTTTGAGCACTTTCTTCAAAAGAAACCAATTTTGGTGGCAATAGAAAAGTTGTAGAGAATCAAAAATGAGGCTTATAGCCAAATTTCCAAAAAGATACACATAGTAGTTTCGCTTAAAATGCAAGTTTTGTTGAAAATTTGGCATTTCTTTTGTGTAAATTTGGCACTTCTTGAAAACCAGTTTTTGAATCGTTCTGAAAGTTTGGATATAAGGTTAATTTTTGATTCTCTACAACTTTTCCATTGACACCAAAATGGGTTTCTTTTGAAGAAAGTGCTCAAACTGTCACATATGACAATAGCCGGCAGTTTTCAATTCACCAACCCAATATGTATCAAATTTGACACAAGCTTACGACTACGTGAAGTTAAAAGCTCATTTGGAGTTCATTTGGAGCGAGTTAAAAGCTCGGGGTCGCTCATTTGACTTGATTTGGCTAGACAAAAAGTTTTCTGAAGTGAAGTCCCAGTCGTTGAAGTTAAAATTTCAATTTCTTGAACCAACCTTCCAGTGTCAGTCGGAGTGCCCACCAACGACGAGCACTCGCTGCTTTCTCCAGTGTAGCGACGACCCGAGAGCCCTTAAAAAAAAAAGAAAATTTTATTATAAACTAAACTTTCTATGAGTCAAAATACCCAAATCAATCCACCTAATCACCTATTTTTTCTGGAAAATCCTTGAAAAAAGGGAGACGTTAATCCGATCCGGGTGAACGGGGAAAACTTTTGATTTCAAAAGCTTGAAAAATGAAAAAAATAGAGAGTTTTTCGAAAGATTTTGGACCTTTGAGATTACTAAAAGGAAAATTATCGTTAAACAAGTAAATAGTACAAAGAAACTAGTAAATCAAGAGAAAATCAAGAGAAAATCTAACACCAAACACTTGTTAAACTTGTTAAACTTTTTTCCGGTCAAAAGTTTGAATTTAAGTTGATGCAGAACTTAAAATTAGGTTATTTATTGGCATTAACTAGAATATTTGACATTAACTTGAGATTAACATTAAAATTAGCTTCAAAAAAAAGTCTATTTTAAATAAAAAATCGGGTACATACAGTACTGGAGAATGAAATATGATATTTGAAAAACGATCGTCACTTTCGAGCGTCTGTAACTCCATTGTCTTTGAGTTTAAACTATTAGTGTTATACATTTTCTGGAAGCTCTTTTCAAGGCCTACACAATGGTAATATTAATATTTAGAAATACGGTAAAGACAAGGGAGTTACAGACGCGCGAAAGTGACGATCGTTTTTCAAATATGATATTTCATTGTCCAGTAGTGTACCTTAAAAGTCATGTAGAGGGTGATCAAAGTAGTTGTAGCTATAAAATAGTGATTAACTCGGCTGCACCGGTGCACTACTATTAGAGAAAATACGGTACTAAAATGTCCGGTAATTAAGACTTTAAGTCCGGCTGAAGAAATCGGACTCTGACGGAATCAAGAAAAGAATCTTTAGGTAGCTTTTTCTAATAGTAGTGCACCCTGAGCGTCGCCTAAATTCCTCGAAATCTCGAGAACCAGAACCTATCGAACCTATCGTTATTTATTGGGTTGGGGACTATGACTCGGCGCCGAAAATCAAAAAAATGTCTAAAACTTCTATTCGACTTCGTCAAATAATATGCGTTTGATATGAGTAGAATGGTTAACTAATTCTCTACAAAATGACATTTAAAAGAAAATTCAAACAGCGCCTCCGCTCAAGAAAAAGCCATTTTTTCACAAAAACTACAAACTGTGATCTAGAAAAAACCATTGGTGGGATCTTCCTGCAAATTTGACAACTTAAGTAAATGAATGTGCTCTATCTTTTTTATATAAACACCAAAGAAGGTTTATGTGAAAGAAACTGTTCAAATGATGAGTCGGACTCTTTGCCATTTTGACTAGCTGTGTTTGGGAGTCCATAAACTCCACGAAAGAAAAGCTTTGTGGAATCTCTCAAAAGTGATTTTGTAGAGAAATAGTGGATCCTTTTGATGAAACCAAACGTATGTTTAAAGAAGGCTTTATGTGTGCAAAAAGTCCCTTTAAAGTTTGGCGCCGAGTCATAGTCCCCAACCCAATAGTTATGTAGCTATCTACCGTATTCTCTTTAATAGTAGTGCATCTTAAGCGTTGCCTAAATTGCTCGAATTGTTCAATAGTTTACTTTCGAATCTCTGATCAGCTTAGATAAAGCTATGTCAGAAGTCAAATCTTACCATTTGATAAACTACCTTCATCCAGGCTGAGTGTCATCTATTCAGTTCAGAATAATTTCATAGAATCCCTGAGTAGTCAAAAGTCAAAAAACTCTGATTACTCAAAAGAGCTGAAAGCTAATCAGTCGGTTGTAATCAAAATACGTAGTGGTTGAGGGGAAAGGGCTCTATCTTTGTGTCTACCCAATTCCACTCTCGACTTTTCTCTTTGTAGTGGCCCTCTTTTCTCTCTCAATCTCTTGATCAACTCAATCCTGATTCGATTGAGTGAATGATGTCTTTGACCAGTCAATGGAAAAGAGAGAACAGCTGATCAACGAACACTCATCAACAAGTTTGAAGATTGATTTCGAAAAGTCGAGAAACCTTGTTACTTGTATGAATTGGAGAAAGCAGTTTATTTCTATTTATTGAAATGAAACTAAATTTGGCTTTGAGAAATCTAATCATGAATAAAATCAGAGAATTTACAAGATCATCCAACATTTAATACGAGCCCCGCCTCTTTGCCATTGGCAATTTAACTTTGAACTCGAATATCTCGGTGTTGGAGGCCTATGGAGGTTTTCTGGTGGCTATGGAGCCGATGCGAATCTGAGTGGGTTTTTGATGGTTATTCGACATTTGATTCACGCTCAGCCCTTTTCCCATTGGCAATCCAACTTTGAGCTCAAATATCTCGGTGTTGAGCCGTTCAATTACAATATTTTTGGTATCATTAGATGCGCCAAGTCTTTCTCTATCGATTGATACAAAAACTATTCGAATTGGACATCCCAACACCAAGATATCTAAACCCGTAAGCCCCGCCCACTTTGCCATTGGCAATCCAACTTTGAGCTCAAATATCTCGGTGTTGAGCTGTTCAATTACAATATTTTTGGTATCATTAGATGCGCCAAGTCTTTCTCTATCGATTGATACAAAAACTATTTTAATTGGATAGCCCAACACCAAGATATTTGAGTTCAAAGCCAATGGCAGAGGGGCGCGTATAAAAGGTTTCACAATAGCCCCGCCCCTTTTGGTATTGACAATTTAACGAATGAATTCTTGTTTTATTTAAGGAAAATTTCAAAATATTCAAATAAATAAACAAATCTCATTTTGCCTTTTCAATCAAAATGTTGACAGTATTTGTAAAATCTTTGAGTAGCAATTTAAAATCTTTAAGCAAACAACTACCTACCGCAATACATGTAATAGTAGCAGCCCTCTTCCCCGTACAGTCGCGTAGTCTAACACACAAGGCTCCGCGCTGTTTCGACGAAAAATTTGTGCTTAGATATAGCGCTTGAAACGAAGCATTTTTTAGTTTTTACTTTAGAAAAAGCTGGACGTGTTCAAAAAATGATTTACTTTAACGACTACGCGACTGTACGTCATTATTGGGCTACTATTACAGGTATTTGAATTGAATTGAAGGAGTTGAAAGGGAGCAAGATTGATTCGAACGAATAGCTTTCGATATATGATTAACTAGCATACCTTTATTGAGATCAGATCCGAGAGATAAATACTTCTTTAGTGGCGCCATTCATTAGCAAAAAATGATTGAAAAACTTGAATGGAGTTACTTCATTTCAAGAGGTTTCTTCTAGTTTTTCGCCCGAAAAAGGTGTGAAAACTTTACGAGGCGCCGAAACAAGGAAAATGACATGAAATGGTTGGGGTTATCAGTGGCAATTGGGGAGAGTGCTCCTTTTGATCAAGAAAAAAACTCTGGCGAGATGCTGAAAATTCCGTGAATTCTAAGAAACATTTGAAAAGTGGAATTATAAAGGGAAAAAAAGGTTGATACCGTATTTTCTCTAATAGTAGTGCACCCAAGCGAGCCGAGTTGGTGACGATTTTACGGTTTCCAAGCTTTTGCAGAAGCTCAACACTCAAATCCCCCACTAGATCTCAACGTCAGCTACATTTTCCGACCCCACATCGATAGGTTCTGATAAGCGGTTCTCGAGATTTCGAGGATTTTAAACGAAGCTCAAAGCAGACTTAAACTGTTCCGTTCAACTAAAGCATTCAAAATTGGAATTTCATTCAGTTGAGCAACTTTAGATTGTAGATTAGATGCTTTTTCCTGATTATTTTCCTAGTAGTGCACCAGTGCAGCCAAGTTAATGACTATTTTAGGGCTTTCAAAGTTTTCCCAGAAGCTCAACTCTCTAATCCCCCACTTGATCTCATCGTCAGCTACATTTTCCAACCCCACATCGATAGGTTCTCATAAGCGCTTCTCGAGATTTGGAACAATTTAGGCGCTCAGGCACTACTATTAGAGAAAATACGGAATTCGGAGAGGGGATTATACCTTCGACCTTTTGCCTTTTCCTTTTCCGCAATATTACTCTAACCACTGAGCTATTCGGTACTTTAACCTGCCAAGAGAAAGAAGGAAAGACAATGTTGGATTGTTGGATTGCTTGTTTGTTATATTGTTGAACTTTTGAAGAAAGCTAGCCTATTTTGAAAAACAAAAATAAAATGAAAAACGATTATAGACTATGAAAATTTGAATTTCTTGTCCATACAAAGCATAAAGATTTGCAAATGAGTTGAGGATAGAGTTGTTTCGGAATCATTTTACTCGGATCAAGATAGATGCTAGGTTCTAGCCTTGTCTGGCTTTATTGCAGACACGAAATCTACTCAAAATCCATTTCTAGACTTGCCTGATGTTAGTCTGCTTGAATTGCTTTTGAATTGGCTTTACTGCAAAAGGGAAACAAAAAGTACCTAGACTGTTAGAAGCTAAGCCTGTGCCAGACTTTTCACCTGGATTTGGCTTTCTAACTGTCTAACATTTGGCCTTTCTTAGCCTGATCTAGGCCTAGGGTAATCTCGGAAATCAGCCTGAAAAGCATGCTGAAAAAGAATGTTTTTAGAATGCTGAAAGAACTGTTTTCAGGCTTTCTAACTGTCTGACAAGGCAGAAAAAAGGATTTGAATAAAATAACTGATATAATTAGAAAATTTGTCAAAGTTTCAAGCACTGATCAACATTTCTTCAATCAAAGAAAAAGTGGGCATGTCCGGGATCAACATTCGCATATGAAAAGGATAAAAGAAAAAGAAAAGAGAAGAAAAGAAAGGAAAGGAAAGAATTTCTACTTACGGAATGGACTAAGTTGAGCAAAAAGAAATATAAGCAGGATGGGGAAGAAAATGAAAAAGTCGACGAAAAGAGAGAAGCTGAAGACGGCCAATGACATCCAGTGCTTGGAAAAGGGATGAAAAACGGAAGAACATCTAATATTACTCTTCTGACTCCTTTAGATTCTCTTGAGAGTTTTTAAAGGAAAAAGGAAACAAAACTCTTTTCAGAGATGAGTTGTTTCAGCTTTTTGAAAAAGAGTGGAACAATTTGTCTTGTTATTGTCTGGGATAATTGAGTGGTCTAGATGTTGTTATTGTCCGTTTTGAAATGCTTTAGTTAATTCATTTAGAATCTAGGTGAAATTGGATAGATAAAAATGGAAATTGAACATTTAGTTTATCCTACGTTTCATTCTTGACGAGGCTCACAAGCGTACGCTTGCTTGCTTGCTTGCTTGCTACTGACATCCTGATGGGATTAATCAAAGAGGTAATGAAGCAACAAGAAGATCAATCAAAGTGGTGATGTCGGCCACACTCGATGCGAGAAAGCTCAAACATACTTTGACAACTGCCCTTTGATTGTCGGTGCCCGGGAGGGCGTTCCCTGTAGAAATCTTCTATACACCCGAGCCTGAGAAGGACTATTTGGAGGCGGCAATTCGAACGGCAGTCCAAATCCATGCTTGTGAGGAGATTGAGGGGGACATTCTCCTCTTTTTGACAAGACAAGAAGAAATCGAAGAGGCATGCAGACGGATTAAATCACAAATGGATAATACTAAATGTCCAATTTTGAATTGGTTGATTCAATTTTGAATTCATCAAATCATCAAAAGACTGAGCTGAAATTGATGATTGATATTTGTTTATAAAGAAAAGTATTCACTCTACAGAAGAGTATTCAGTCTAGACTGTCTGGAATACTGTATTCAACTTGGAATAGGATATTCAGCCTAGAATAGCTAGATCACGGTATTTAGTCTAGATTAGAGTATTCAGTCTGGATTGGAGTATTCAGTCTGGACTTGCGTATTCAGTCTAGACTGGCTGGAATAGGGTATTCAACCTAGAATAGCTAGATCAGCCTAGAATAGATAGAATAGGATATTCAGCCTAGAATAGCTAGATCATGGTAAGCCAAACCTAAGCCCAAACCACTGAAGACTCCCACAAGAAAGCAGGGAGACTAGGGAAAGCAAGAGAATGAGAAATCGGTTAAGGAAAGATTTCAAAATATTCAGATAGAATTGCTGAAAACGCTGGATTTTTAGTTTAGATTCAATTATTTTATCATCAACACGGTGGAAACCGGATCGTGTGAGCTGTAGACAAGCGCGCTTCGTTTAAAAGTATTAAACCACTAAACAGTTAGATCCTAACTGCTAGTTAGATCCTAACTGCTTAGTGGTTTGGTAACTTTCTTACCAAACCACAAAAGAGAATGAGCAATCGGTTTAGAATTGCTGAAAACGCTGGATTTTTAGTTTAGATTCAAGTATTTTAACATCAATAAGACAGGATGGCGTACAACAGCAGGATGGCGTACCCGAACTCATTTCAGATTCTCCAGCTTAGCGAAGAGTCAATCAATTGATCTAATTCTTTTTTTGATTATCAAATTGAATATTTCTCTTGCAATTTGTTTTCTGGATTTGATCAGAAAAGTTTCTAAACTTTTGCTAGAGCGCTGAAAAGTTGTGACACGTGTTTCCTGCGATGGAATCGCGATTTTCTGGTTTTTGTAGCTAGTTTCAATGGCTTAAAATCAAAGAAATCAAAGAAATCAAAGAAAACCAGCTTCATTTACTCCTTTTTACATATTATTTCCAAAATCTAGCTCATTTTTACTAGAAAACAATGAATTTCGATTAAAGATCAAGGTTCAAAATGTGAATTTGAACAGATTGCGGATGTTGTGCTGTATAGATACCGTAA